TACGCCATCTTGCTCAAGTTAGCACCCCTGTTTCGACGAAACTGCTAAGTTTTGTCACGTTTTAGGAAACAACCAACCAATTTTTCACGATCTAACATTCCACGCATATCAGATACTTGTATAATTACAAAGTATGATCGAAATGGTCGACATTTTGTTATTAATTAGCTGTTTATCTGTGGCCAAATTAAAAAAAAAAACGTTTTGACTATCATAACTATTGAAGATGTCATCTTTCAACACTTTTCTCTAAGCTAACGATGTACAAATTACACAATCTATTCGCCACAAAATGGGCTAAAATATGATGTCTCGTGGACGTTTATGTGAGCCGTTGACGTTGAGTTACGGCCTTGGGAACAGGAAGATGTTCGTAAAATTTAGTCCATAAAGTTCAACAGGCTTTATCTCCAGAACTATGGGACACATAAAAAATTCGAGACGCATTCTCAAAGATCATTATCTTATAAAGCAACAGTGAAAAGATCAGAAACATGGAAAAAAGGAACACCGAGAAACGGCCAATCCCGCAAAACAACTCTCCGTTTAGAAGGTTAACGGGAACGATCGTAACTTAATTTCCTGAGCAAATATCAAGACGAAACATATATGATCGTATTTTGCTATATCTCAGCTTTCTGAAAACATATACATTGCCATAACTGCATGCCTAGTAACTGGTGAGGAAAGTCCTAAACTCCATTAAACTATAAATTATGTTTCCCCTCTCGCTACCTTAAACAGTAATAACAATACATGATTAAACTTCTAAGAATTGAAAGTACAATAAACTTATTATTCCGTATATTTCCTTGACACAGGCAATTGACAATCTTCTAACTTTGATGAAGGAAAATAATATAACTGCCATCAAATCCGAGAGTTTCTCCGAAAATCCAAAGAATCAAATTGAAAATTTAAAGGTACATTTTCATTATTTGTTCTTTTAATTTTCACAGGTTTTACTTTGTCTACTTAGTATGGGCCTGTCTTATGAAATACTATATTTTGATTTTTTTACAGAAAGACGATGCTAAAATCATTGTCGCTAACACGTATGCACGTATGGCAAGGCGAGTTTTCTGCGAGGTAATGTTTTACACGTAGCTTAGTGTACACATATTCTTACGATTTTGCATTGTCACATATCTACAATGAGTTGTTTACTGTAAAACATGTCTTTTTCGCGAGCATGTCTTTTTCGCGAATTTAGCGAGTGAACTGATTTGCTAATTCAAGATGTCGCTAATGACTTTATTATAAATTCAAAATGGCCGCCAAACTAAGAAATCAACAATGACAAGAAAGATTCGCTAAATCAACATTTCGCTATTACGTCATTTTACTACAATTCGCTAAAATTGCATGTAGCTTTTTCAACATGTTTTACAGTATTTATCAGCTATTCACAAATCAATAGCAATCTATTTTGTACAATAAACGCCCTAAAGACAATAGCAATCTATTTTGTACAATAAACGCCCTAAAGACAATAGCAATCTATTTTGTACAATAAATGCCCTAAAGACAATAGCAATCTATTTTGTACAATAAACGCCCTAAAGACAATAGCAATCTATTTTGTACAATAAACGCCCTAAAGACAATAGCAATCTATTTTGTACAATAAACGCCCTAAAGACAATAGCAATCTATTTTGTACAATAAACGCCCTAAAGACAATAGCAATCTATTTTGTACAATAAACGCCCTAAAGACAATAGCAATCTATTTTGTACAATAAACGCCCTAAAGCCAATAGCAATCTATTTTGTACAATAAACACCCTAAAGACAATAGCAATCTATTTTGTACAATAAACGCCCTAAAGACAATAGCAATCTATTTTGTACAATAAACGCCCTAAAGACAATAGCAATCTATTTTGTACAATAAACGCCCTAAAGACAATAGCAATCTATTTTGTACAATAAACGCCCTAAAGACAATAGCAATCTATTTTGTACAATAAACGCCCTAAAGACAATAGCAATCTATTTTGTACAATAAACGCCCTAAAGACAATAGTCATTCTATTTTGTACAATAAACGCCCTAAAGACAATAGTCATTCTATTTTAAAGACAAACTGTCAATCTCATGTAATATTACGGGGACATTACCGCCTGCATAGTTTACGCTATTGAGTTTATTTCCTCCCCCCCCCACTCAGGATCCATAGGGGGCCGTATGCGCGTTCCCATTTTCTCGGGAAAGAGGGTACTTTTTGACGATCTGTCTCGGGAACATTTTCCCGAGAAAATCGTAGAAAAGGGGGTATTTTTTGCTTGTTTTCCCGAGATTCTCAAAATAGGGGGTGTATTTCAAAACACTTCCCGAGATATACAAAAAAGGGGGGTTTAAAAGGAGTTCTAGACTGAAAAGTTCCCTAGATAGGGGGTGAAATTCATCGGAAAAGCCCGTGAAAGGGGGGGGGGGTAAATTTTCTTCTTTTCCCTAGATAGGGGGGGGGGGTCAAAAAAATGAGGGAACAAGCATAGGCCCCCTAAATATAGGGAGTGGGGGGATTTCCTTGCGTCATTATAATCTTTTATAATGACCCTTTATATGAGAAGTTAGTAATTTTTATATACCAATTTGTTATCAACACCTTAGGCATACAAGCAAGGGATGACGGGACCGGAATATGTGTGGTTCATTATTGGATGGTTTGGTCCAAAATGGTGGGAAGTGGATGACCCGTATGTAGATTGTACCATCGAGGAACTGAAGGCCGCTGTGGAAGGTTCACGGTATATCTCATCAGAGAGTTTGCAGTTGTCTACATCAGAAGAACTAACAGTAGCTGGTATCGTAAGTAATGATAATAATTTTTTCTATAACTTATTTTGCTTGAATTGTGGCTATTTTGACAATGTTTCACAGACAACAATATTGTTCAGATAACACAAAAACCAGTGGTTTTACATAGAGACAATGTGACTGATACAGAATACAGAGCTTTGACAAAACTATACCATGGATAAAGCCTATGTTTATATATCACCATGCACATCATAAATCCTTGAAACTCAAAAAGTGATCATAACAACAATTTCTGAAACAAACCGGATTTAATATAATAATCAGGAAATCTGTCTGTCTGTCTGTCTGTCTGAATGAATGAATGCATGAATGAATGGTAATGTCACGGACAATGAATTGAATCAAGAATAATGAACAGTCTTAGCATATACTTTGTTTTCATCACAGATATTACGTTTTGCCAAATTATGGCTAGAATTTTACATGGTATAACTTATTTACTTTACACGGTCATATTAGAGGACCATGCTGTATACTGTTGTGAAAACAGCGTCGTGTTCGGGGATCGGGAACTTCGTCTCGCTTGCCTGATTTCACCTATACGTAGAGATACCAGATTCGACCCATATGAATACACATTAGTTCATTACAGATAGTCCACCTTTTATTCAGACAAGCAGTCAGCTGAGGGATCCCCCGGCTGTACCGTTCTCTCGTTCTTTCTCTCTTACAAAGGTTACAAACTCTCCATATTAAAAGTCTAAACATTACGGCATGGCGGAGTAAACATACGATCAGCCAGTCGCTGCAGTCGTTGGCACGACCACGTGATTACCAAGGATGTGTCTCACGGTTAAAGCCAATTCATTTATAAAATTCCTGTAATATATATTTATAATCTCCACCCTAAACATGCAAGTTGTTGATTCTAAACAATAGTCTAATGACATGTGATAGGTATTTTTGATGTTTGAAAACCTTTCACTTAGGTAACCGGGATTCGATTGTTCCCCACGCTGGACTCACACACACACAAGCTCCGTTCATGTCCATCCGATTCTCTGCTTGTCCCCAGCTTTCACCCAAGACAGCTTTAAATCATTCTTTATTACTTATCACTCATTAGCCAATTACAATCAGTATAAGAGACTCCCAGGCCTTGCCTTCAAACAAACAACCAATCACATGAAAGTTTTACACATCATAATCAATTGATTAATCGTCAATCTATTAAGAAAACCACTATCATATTGTCAACGTCAATTTATATTTATGGGTTTAATAGTCTTGCAATAATATTCCACAAAGATACCGCATGAGTTTGAAATCGCAAACACCCAGTTTTGGGTTACGATCACCGTACCATCTGGCCTCATCATTAACCTTTATCAGTAATTTAACCTTTATCAGTAGATGTCATGGCAACCACTATTAAGCTGACTGGCCTCGTCATTTAACCCCTATCAGTAGATGCCATGGCAACCACCATTAAGCTGAAATATAAATCATGATAGACATTTGAACCGAATGTGCGAACGTGAAGTCGCTATCATAATACAACCAAGAGGTAAAAAGAATACATTCTGTTTGACATGGCACCCATCATAAATGATTCATAATCTAATGGTTTGAACATGAGAAAGTGATAAGTCATCTACGGTGTCATCACAGATCATCATCAAGTTTATTATATCTACCAAAACAAAGACCCGATAATGTAGCATAGCGGTATACAAAGTGAAAAAAATAATGAAAATGTTATATTGATGATTAGGTTGATATTAAGTTATTATTTCCAGTAGGCCCAAGTTTGTTAATGAGGGGCTCATGTAACGAACGCTATATTGTTTAATCGATTTGTCCGGATATCAGACAGGTTCTTCAGTACATCACGATCTTATTTAAATACAGACTTTGGTCGTCTGTTGAGTCATTTCTCAAGTCTATGGATGCGAAAGTTACTTAACAGCTATCAATCACTCACAACATCTCAAGTTTTCATCTCGGTTAGCCCATTGCATGGCACATTATTCAACGGATTCCGTAATGATTTTTAAATTGAATTCATTTTAGGAAATAAGAAATTAGATTAGAAAAGAGTTCGAACATGTCTATGTAAAACAAAACATTACTCTTATATAATTGTAGGGGAATTACCCCAAAACATGCGTTGCTTAATCATACATTCTCTCCCAGCTATGTGCTTTCATTCTTTCAACTTAGACGGCCAGGGAGTATGAACAGGAGCTGCGAGAGCGAATGGAATGGCCTGAAAACAGAGACTATATATGGAATGAGGTAGCACCCTATGCATATGATGCAGCATGGGCAATCGCGCTGACGTTGGACAAAGCTGCGTCCACTCTCGAAAAAAGACCGCTGTCGGGCGATGCATTCCGACGTCTCGAAGATTTTACTTATGACGACAAAGAGATGTCTCAATTATTTTTCGATTTCCTCTCACAAGCTGATTTTCTTGGCGTTTCGGTGAGTTGTTTTTAAAAAATTCGTTCTACTTGAAGTATGTGTATTTGTATCTGAAGATATAATTATATTAATTGCGAGATTTTCAGTGTTATTCGACGTTGTTTTTAAAGAATTCGTTCTACTTGAAGTATGTGTATTTGTATCTGAAGATATAATTATATTAATTGCGAGATTTTCAGTGTTATTCGACGTCGATTGTATTTGACGTTTGTTTTTTGTGTTCATTATTTTGTAAACAGGGACCTGTCGGTTTTAGAAATGGGGATCGTTTAGGTGTAATACAAATAGAGCAGCTT